TCATTATTTATGGCAGGGGTGGGGGCCGAAGAGAAAGTATAATGAAGCCGGAAAAAATCATTACCCCACCTTTTTCGAAACAAAATTTCTAGCTACCCCACCGGTGGAATGCCAGAAAATTTTTTTACCCCACCCAAACCTCTCTTGTTGCAATGTCATTTAAGGTTCGACATAAAATATGTAATGAAACAGTTTAGTATTTTGTATGCGTATTACTCATCAAGGTACAAAATTGCCCTTTATGAGTATTGAGTAAGATATCATCTGCTGTTAGAGAGTAATAATAATTATTATAGGGTGCTTTGACCACAGTGGCCATTATAATTAAAAGGGAATAGGATTGATTGGTAATACTTGTTTACCAATATCCCTTGCCCCTTATTTCTTGTGGAGTAATTAAAGCACACTAACAGTCATGCCTTATTATGGGTTACCCCTACAATAGCAAGGTACTATATAAAGAATTATAGTTATCTGAAGGCTTAAAATTTGTCTACTTGTAAAATTGAAATATGAATGGGTTTTTATAGTTTGTATTCAACGCTATATATTCCCTTTTCACGAGATAGTGCAATGCTATATAGTCTCATAAACATATATTAACCATGCACTGATATAAAACCTGTACAGCATATATTTCAATATTTTAGAACACTAACCGTATTTCACCACCCTATCTCTTTCCCACTTTAAAGTTTCACTGTATATAATTTGGTTTCTTTCACATTCTTGCATTTCTTTATTAATTAAAATGCACTTTTATTTTGAAACAGTTTCACAAAGTATGTGCTCACCCATGATTGCAACTATCTAAATTCTAAAATTTCCTCTGAAATTCCTTTAACATTTCCTTACTATAGACAATCACATGTATTATCACGGAAATTTAAAGGAATTCCTTAAGAATTCCCAAGGAATTCTTGAAGTTTACGAAATCAATTTAATATTTTAATTTGTAAACAATACAATGATACAAAGGAATGTCCCATGTGAGAATATCTGAATTTAGAAATGATGTTACTGTAAATTAATGAGAAAACGTTGCTGTTATACAGTGTGAAGATAAAGATATTCATCCGAATTCCAAGTACGATTATATAAACAATTAATACATGGTCTGCTAGTAAAGAAAAACAGCTAGTTGCCAAAGACTCAGAACAATGTTTGAGCTGAATATATTATGAACTAGCCATTGGAATGATTCTCCAGATTCACAAGGGGCATGGGGCATATTTCATGATTTACTACCTGAATTGTCCACATGGTTTACAAGCACATACTGGATATAGATATTAGTTATACAGTATCAAGTGTAGATGCCCAAATATTAAATCCTGAAAATTTAATAGACTGTACATATACTTTTTGAAATATGTAATAAGGGGATGTTTATATGAGGGTCTGAATGGGGTTAACTGACTATTGACATTTGCCTGAATTTTTGACTGACAACTGACAAAATATCCTAACTGACAACTGAGAAATGATGAAAAAATGATGAGTCAGCATTTGACAGTAACTGACTACTGACACCTTGCAATATATCGCACTGACAACTGGCTTAAATTTTAGCTGACAACTGACACCCAAAGACCCCCATTAAGACCCTCTTATATGGGGGCGAGCCTGGATGCCCGGGGTTAGGGGCTACAGACTTAAGGTCACTTTTCCAGAGGCAAGATCTCGGGCTAAAGGGGCGGGATCTCGCTAAGCTATATCTGGGTCCACTCTTTACCCATATATATACACAAGGTGAACTTTAGTAAGAAATAACAACAAAGGCAGGATCTCGCCGAAACTAGGCCAGCTTGGGTACCCTGGGGTTGGCTTGCAGTTGCACCATATAAACAGCCCCTATATATAGTCAGTATATATTTTTTCTGGTAATTGGAGTCTTTGGAGATTTTGTGCGTAAATGACTATAAAAATGACCCTTTACGGGTGGATGTTTCTGTCAACATTTTGGAAAGCAATAATATTTTATTAAAAAATTAGAATAATCACATATTAAACTCTGATAATAGTATATATTGTATTGTGTGATTAAAGTAAGGTTATTTTTTTGTTTACCCCACCTCTGCATGCAAGGATTTTTTGGCCACCCCACCTAAAGCAAGTATTATTTTTCAGTTACCCCACCATTTTCTCTTCGGCCCCCACCTCTGCCTAAATAATGACCGGTCCCTAAGCCCACCACATATACTAACGCTCACTTCATTCCAAATATAAGCTCCCCCGAATATCATGAAGCTGTCCCCCGAATATAAGCCCCTGAATATATAAGTTCCCCGAAATATAAGCCCTGAATATATGTCTCCCCGAATATAAGCCCAATGGCTGACTATTGTTATTCAACATTGACATTATCTTTAATATAGCAGAGAACGATATTTAAAAAAATTGTCGTTGTCTTTACATGTAGCTACTATGTTAATCAAACGTTATTAAAACATGTTTATTTTCCTGTTTATGACTGACCTATTTATGTCTGACATGTTTATTATTAACACAAAATATCGTCCATGTATTAGCCCCCCCGTATATAAGCCCCCCCCCCCCATTGTATAAGCCCATCAAAAATCGCTTACGAAAGTATATAAGCCCAGGGCTTATAGTCGGAGGTTTACGGTACATAGTTTTAAGAGTTCCCCCTAGCACCGCTGTTGACCAACCCCCCCCCTGTAAATGGGAAGTAAGAACTCACTTTAGCAGGCCAAGGTGGTTGACTTTTCATCTGTGCCCAGACCAGTTCATGTGGAGGATTCTGTTTCAAAAAGAATTTAAGTACTAGTTAATAAACGAGCAGGAGTGTTTTATTAGGTTTAAAAGACACGAGCGCGCAGCGCGAGTGGCTTTAGACCTAATAAAACACGACCTGCGAGATTATTAAACGGCTTCAAACAAGACTACAAATTCAATAGATATACTGTCTTATTAGTATTCTTTATATAAAAAATACTAATGAGGACACGACTACAATAGATACTGCCTTATTAGTATTCTTTATATAAAGAATACTAATTAGGAGTGTTTTATCAGGTTTAAAGCCACTGCACGTGACATATTATGGTTGACATGATTTGCCAATAAGCTTATGAATTATTAATGAGTGTTTGAAGTACTATTTAAAACATGACCAGCCGATCTTTATCTGATATAAAACACGAGAGCGCAGATCGATTCTTTTTTTATCAGATAAAACACGGACTTCGAGTGTTTTAAATGGCTTAAACAAGACCTATCCGATGAGTTCATTGGCGAAGTAATTTTAAAAATAAACGTTGTCTAAGACGAGAACATCAAAGCTCGGTGCATTTTTTAAGGATTCTTCAGTGGTGGGGCAAAACTGCCAAAGGGCCCATTTTTCTTGCCCTCCCCCCAAGATAGTATGCGATCGCCGAAGGTGTGAGCCGAGTACCGCAGACACGAGTTAGCTAGGGGGTCTGGGAGCATGCCCCCCCAGGAAATTTTTAAAATTTCGGTCTCTGAATATAGCATTTCCTGCATTCCGAAAACACATTTGAAAAAAATCTCAGCTTCTCAAAACGAAGTTTTAATGGTGAAATTTGTAATAAATTGCATGCTAAACATTCAAACACAACATAAACTTCTTTTCAATGTTAAACTCAATTACTCAATACAGGTCCTAGGGCCCTGACTTTGGGGCAATAGGCCATTTTCTTCTTCAGTGGTGGGGCAGGGGAAGGGACCCAGTGGGTCAAATGCCCTACCAGTCCATGGATTAAAAAATGCCTTGTCAAAGCTAAAGTTTATGTAAATTAACATGATTTTTTATAACACATAAAACCACCGTTACGGCAAAGATTTCTTTTGTCTTTACCTCATGAATTATTTTAACTCTTGACGCTAGACGAGAGGAAGCTTGTCTTAAACTGTTTAAGAACATTGCAGCCCGGATCATAAACTTCATAATCTACTTCCAACAAGAATGGTCCAGCATCATTGTTTGAGAAATCATCGCGAGTTTATGATACCCAACGTGAATACAAACCGATTTTTAAAGCACGTCCAGGGTCTTAGCTAGCATTTTATAGTTTGGGGGTGTTTCTAAATTTCCAGGGTGTGCCCATGTCAATTGCCTTGAATAGCCAAAAACACGATTCCAGTTATGCTTGTCAACAATCGACAATACCTGTGGTTGGTCTATGCTTTTCAACCAAATACAAGGCGAGCATATACGCTCATATTTCGCACTGACATTATAATAAATTACTGTATTTTAACAACACTACGGTGACCATTATCCATGAAAACATTAAAACATCACGGATCACTTTTACAAAGAAATTCTGTATGTTATAAGTAGCAACACCTTATTTTATGAACCTACATGCACGGCCAAAACTAAATAATGAAGCCGCGTTCATTTCATCTAGCCGTGTTTTTACATTTTTGGCCACGATAACACGGCCAACACGGCCTTCTAGCTAAGACCCTGAGCACGGCCCTTAGAAAATCAGGTAACTGAAAGGCTACCGTGTTTAAATAAGTTTAAATATAATAATAATATCAAAATTACTTACACAAGGTTGACAGAACCAATCTTTGGGCTTGGAATTTGAGAGATAATAGCAATCTGGGCACAAGAGCATTTCCTCTATCTGGAATTGAAACAAACTTATGTAGAAACAGCGAGTACTAAGCACAGTCAGAAAACACGCGATGCGAATAAATAAACACAAGCGAAGGAAATAAATACATCGATGGAAAAGCGAGGAGAGAAGAGAGGGTTGTCCTCCTCAAATTGCCCCTCAACTGACCAACGTGTGCACAATAGCCCAAATCAAGTCTCCCCCCCCCCCCGACACCTGTACTCAATAAATGTACTTGACATGCCAACTGTTAAAGCAGGGGCACTAAGGTACACTATACACTGGTTAAAGATGGCGAATGCATAGTTTTTCTTGTGTTGTGAGATGAATTCCAGCCATTTTTTCTTAATTGTCGTGTTTCCAACTGAAAACTAATTTCCACAATTTCCAACTCAAACAACTTCATTTTTACTTCACTGAAACTTTGGTGAGAAGATTAAGTTTCAAAACTCAATTCAAGATTGAGTTTTTGGGGCCGTTTTACGACCCTAAAAAATCAATGAAAAAAACCCTGCTAATGGGGAGCGGTCATTATTTATGGCTGGGATTGGTACCGAAGAGAAATATTTTTCTTGGCAAGAATTTTGCTGATCCAAAAATGATCCGAAAAATGATCAAGATAGTGAGTCCGATTGATTTACATATCGTTGTTTGTGATGTTACTCTGAGTGTGCATCCACTCCGGGCAGGCTGAAAAGTTTGCCTGACCACGGTGGGCATCAAACCCGCGACCTTTGGATACTAGTCCAATGCTCTGCCAACTGAGCTACGAGGTCAGGACGATTCGAGTTGGTGATATTTCGGAACTGAGCCTAGTTTAAAATCCGAACTATTATTATTATTTATTATTATTATTAAATTGAAACCACATTGCAGCCAGAAGCTGAATGGCGTGGATTACATATTATCACATGCACTACATATAAATATATTATTAATACAATATTATAAAACCCACCCTCGATCAAAATTCGATTAAAATAAGCATAAAATCTATCCTACAAACTTCCTACACATAGCAGGGATAAAGAGTTATAAAAGCGGTTCGTGCGTGTAACGTACATATTAAAATACCGATTCGTCCTGAAAGAATAATCAGTCTCGTTCTTCGGGGGCAGCAGATGATGAAGTTTATGCATTGGATCCTTGATGATACTCGTAAAGAGTTTGTCACACATGTCCTCTCTTCTTTGAAATAGAGTAGGCAGTCTATAATACTCAAGGGCCTCACAATATGTCATTTCAGGAGATAAAATTTTTAGCACACGTTTCTGGACAGACTCAAGTTCGTCTGCCAAATACTTTGGGATGGAATGATGGAAGGCTTGCGCACAATACTCGAGCACAGGCCTGATCACTGTACAATAAAAGTTCAAAACATCATTGACATTTACGCCTGCCCGTTTCAATAATACTATAAAATAGAGGCGTTTATTAGCTTTCTTTATACTCTCTCTGATGTTATCTTTCCACTGAAGTGTGCCTGTCATAACAAGACCCAATATTTTTACATTTTGTTTTTCATTTACCCAACCTTTTACTCACTCAAAATTTTGTTTACCCAACCCTTTTCTCTTCGGTGCCACCCCCCCCCCATAAATAATGACCGCTCTCTAAACTCATGCTATTTTTTTACCAGGATGCGTTATCTCAGAATCCTTTATCGCCTGCCAATTTTGATTTCGTCCGGGCTATGGCGCACAATAATGGTTTCCAGAGAATAAATCCCAATGCGATGCGAGGCCGTGAACCCCCAACCTCCATCAGCCAGATGCAATTTCCCATGACCAAGTCACCCCCGCCTTACAACCTTGCCACCCAGAAACCGCACAGAGTCAACCCTGAGCGTCCGCCAATTTCGACGCATCGGACGAGCAAGATTGAGACTTCGAAGTACATGCAGACGACGGCGTTCCCTTCTGGGAACACGACGATTTCCCAAGCCGAGTGGAAGGTGACCTCGCGGTCGGAGATGCCGACTAGGGGAAAATCACCGTCGCCTAATACTCGATCGGTGGTTCCGGAGGGCGGCGCATTATGGAAAAAGACTCCCTACTCGTTTAGCCAAAAACAACTGCCCGCCCCAGCAAGCAGTAGCCATAGCAACTATCAGATGGGCGGCTATTCTCCCGCGCAGCAAGTACCCCCGATGGCAGCCCCACAATTCCCAACCTTTACCCACTCAAAATTTTGTTTATCCCACCCTTGCCACCCCCCCCCCCGCCATAAATAATGACCGGTGTCTTATTTGAGGAAATAAACGGCTCGCTATATGGAGCAAGTCATGTAGCTATTTACCTCTTGTTTGGCATCTTCGATCAATTCTTCAGCCATCACAGTAAATTCATCGTCATCTGGAACACACAAGTTGATATAAACGTCAGTCTAACTCATTAAAACTGAAGCACTCGTCTGATTTCTACACAATAGTCATGGTTGACCCATTGGATTCTATGTTGACCCATTTGACCCTCGAGGGGGGGATTGAAGCCAGTGCATTTTAGTTTTTCCGAGTTTTGAATAGAAATACTCAACACCGAGACGAAGTCGAGATGAATATTAACGGCTTATTGACCGAGCGTGTGAGGTCTGCACTGTGAAATATCAGACCGAGGTTTTTTAGTATGGACCGCGGGGGACGAAGGAGCGAGGTCCATGCAAAAGACAGAGGTCTAATATACAAACCGAACAAGCGAGGTCAATAATCGGTTTATTATATGGCTGAACTGAGTCTGTGAGCATATGCTTTTCGCGCGAATTAAATCGGCTATCTTACGGTAGGCATGCATGCTCAATCAAAAACAATTCGGTTGTTTGAAATTTTTATCTGTAAATGTTAATGACACACAATTGAAAAATTAAAAAGCAAAAATTTTTATTGTTTCCAAAGCAAAAATTTCCCGCCAGATAAACGACATCCGGGACCGGTCCAGACGGACCACGGTCCGGATATGGGTTTTTACGGACCGCTTGTCAACCAATCAGAATAGAGAATTTTGAAAAGCCATATAATAATCCCCGATAATCACCGAGCCTGAGGTGAATATTCCCCGATAATCACCGAGCTTGTTTTAGTATTTTTGCACAAGTCTTTTGTGTTTTTTTGGGACTGAGTTCATTTTAATTTCGCTTATTTCTTTATCAGTAACTTCCACAAAACGGCTAGCCGCCACTTTGCAAAGGTTTTGTTATTTTTGTATATTCACCTGTGGGTGAATATAACAGCTTAATACGTCAAATTTGACCAATCAACTTGTAGGATTTGTTATATTCACTTGTGCAGGAATACTAATGTCAAATATTCACCTGTATTTAAGCTCGATCATGGTATATAACTAAACATGTAAGTTATCTATACTCTATAGTTGTGGAATGGGCTTAAACAAACGCTATCCAAATTTGGATAGCGATTATCCAAATAAGAGCATTGGGCTAGTATTCCAAAGGTTGTAGGTTCGAATCCCACCGTGGCCGGGCATATTTTTCAAGCTCGCCCGGTGTGGATATGCACTCAGAGTAACATCGCAAACATATTATTCACCTGAGTACACAACACCAACACAGAAAATTCATATTACTAGAACACATTGGTATTGAAGGAACTAGATACTGTTCCGAAATATCACTTACTCGAACCGTCCTGACCGCGTAGCTCAGTTGGAAGAGCATTGGGCTAGTATTCCAAAGGTCGTAGGTTCGAATCCCACCGTGGCCGGGCATATTTTTCAAGCTCGCCCGGTGTGGATATGCACTCAGAGTAACATCGCAAACATAATGCCTATGATTGTTAACTAAATAGAAAAAAAGACGGACAAACCTCCAAAATATATAATGGCGTTGTGCAGAATGTATTTGAGTTCTTCAAGAAATTGTCCTGGCGAAGCGAATTTCTCTTCCACAACGTCCTAGAAATGAAATGAAATGAAAAGAATGATATAAAATACATTGTGTTGCATGGGCTCTCGCTATAGCTGACATTTGAAACGGTTGCATGTTTCTTAATGTATATAAGTAACGTGTTAATTTTGAAGACGCGTCTACTCTTACATCTTGTAGCAAGTCTGCCAACAAGTTGTGTTCGCGCTGCTTGTCCCAAGTTGTCAACAAGTTTGGTACAAGCTGTTAACAACTCGTAACAACCTTGTTGATATTATCGGACTTGTTTTAAGATTGTTCCAGCCTGAAGTCCGATACGGTTATGATATAACGATATTGTTACAACCTTGTGTCATCGACCTTGATACATTCTTGTTATATCACGACTGTGTCAGACTTTGTTAGATAATGTTATCAAGCTGATAATGCCATCAAGCTTGTTACAAGTTGTTAACTTTCCAAACTTTTTTCGACAACTGGGAACAATTAAGCATAGCAAACAATCTCTGGATCTCGGAATATGGACTCATTCACGACACGTTCGCGACAGTTTTTACCATTGCCTTTACATCTAAACTAATTTGAAAGTTCGCAAAATCAATTGTACCAATGGATGATTCAAGGCATAGACTAAATTTTGATTGAGGCAAGAACAAAATCCATCGCCACAGCTAGAAAGAGCATGATTTTTTCTGTGTTGGTGTTGTGTACTCAGGTGAATATGATGTTTGTGATGTCACTCTGAGTGTATATCCACACCGGGCAAGCATGAAAAATATACCTGGCCACGGTGGGAATCGAACCTACGACCTTTGGAATACTAGCCCAATGCTCTGCCAACTGAGCTACGCGGTCAGGTCGGTGCGAGTATGTGATATTTCGGAACTGAGTCTATAGTTCCTTCCATATCAATGCAATCTAGTAATCATGATTTTGGATCATGATCGCGTAGCTCAGTTGGCAGAGCATTAAGCTGGTATTCCAAAGGTCGTAGGTTCGATTCCCACCGTGGCCGGCATATTTTTCGGTTCCCACCGTGGCCGGCATATTGCCCGGTGTGGATATATACTCAGAGTGACATCACATACATCATTAGAAACAGCATGTTAAAATTAGCAAAATTGCAAACCTTGGTTGCAAAATGTTGTAAAATGCGGAAAATATAACCATGCATGCAAAAGTTGCAAATTTTGTATTAATTTGAATTTACGTCGTGTGGGAAAATGCACCACATTTGGGCCGAAAGTGTAATACAAAATTTGCAAATTTCGTAGGGCTATATTTTCCGCATTTTACAACATTTCGCAACCAAACTTTGCAATTTTACTCATTTTAACACGCTCTTTCTAGCTGTGGTGATGGATTTTGTTCTTCTTGCCTAGATCAAAATTTATTTGGCAACGAGATGTTATACGATCTATTCGTGTACTTACCGTTTCAATACAGCTCAAGTCTGTCGAATGGTTAATGTACAAGTCGTAGTCAGGACAATGCTCGATGGATACATGTTTGGTTAACTCACTGAACTAAAACAAAATAAACGATTCGTATTAATTAAACTACGTACTAGAGGTGTGCAAATCCGATCCGAAATCGATCCGAATCCGATCGGATTCGTTCAGATTTGGGAAGCAAAATATTCATTTCGGATCGGATTGATAAAGTTGTTTCGTAGTCGGATCGGACTTGGATATCCGAAATAAAATGAATTAATTATCCACGCATTATCGCAAGAATTAATTATCCATGCATTTATCAAAGCATTATCGCGGTTGTCGCTGCATTATTCATTTGATACTTCAATTGGACGTCACTTTGTCAGCTTCCTGACATGTATTTCTTGCTTTTATATTTATTTTGTTAAATATTCCAACTTGAATGAGAAATTTATTTTATTAAAGAATTATTCGGATCGGATTGGAATTCTTTATCAAAACTCGGATCGGATTCGGATTAGACAATTTCGGATTGGATTTGAAACATTAGGCAATTGTCGGATTATAAACGTCCAATCCGATCCGATGCACACCTCTATTACGTGCAGTCCAAGAAAGAAACTACTAGGGGATCGTTCATTATATGTATGGGGGGGGGGGGGGGGGTGGCACCAAAGAGAAATGTTTTTCGTGGTAAAAATTTTGCTGATTAAACCAACAAAAAGTAAAAACAACTTTTACCCAACCTCAAATATCAATTAAAAAAAAATTAATACCCACCCCTGAGCAAAAACTTTATGTTATATTTCACGTCCGACTATGAGGACAGAACTAGAATTTCAAGTCCAAAGGACTCGATCAAAATGGGAGGACTTGAAATCTAGTCCAGTCCGAAGCAGATGATTTGAAATGACATCTCATACGAATTAATACTGATTTACTGTCGTTCCAATTGAAGTGTTCCTCAAATATTGATTCAATACATTACCTCGGCCAGACCAATTCATTTGATAGAAAATTGATCAATTTCCTGTTACTTTTAGATGAGCCAATTAGATTTCGTTTCAGAACCGATTGACCAATAGGAAACGCACAGGAAGTAAAAAGAAATTTGAATTCGTATGAATTGATCGACTTGAGGAAATGAATTCATGCAATATTTTATCACAGAATAGATACAGGACCAGAAGTGTCACTCAGACGATATTAGGGAGTTTACGATCTGCGACGCGGCCGGCTCGACGACGCGGTCTAGATTTTAGCTCAAGAATGAGCGCTAAGCAATTCGATTACTGTAATAAATATTTGACTCTTTCAAATAACCTTACAAAATGCTACGTTCGGCTAAAGCGATGCAATGTTTGCTGTAATTTCGACTTTTAGTAATACCTCTTGTGTCGCATTAAGCTTTCGCGTTGCCTGGAAGACGTAATAATGCTTTTTTAACGTTGTGTTGAGAATGACAACGCGGTTGACAATACTCATGGAGTCATGGGACCACAAATTATTGACAGTTTTTGTCTTGCCTGACAAATTTCTTTGTAAGTTCTTTGTATGTTTGCATGGCGATAAAACACATAATACTATTGTTTGTGGAAACACCAAATTTCTTTGTTTTGAAAGCGCGTCGTCGAGGCAAATTTTTTTTCCGTAGACAGTCGGACTCCTCATTGATAGTCGGACGCATCATTGATCCGCGCCCAGGCCGCCGCGCGTTATCGATCGATCCCTTCGTACCCTGCATAACCCACTGGTATACCATATGTCCATCATTCCGCGTTGTTCCAGTCTTCGACCACGTGAAGAAAGATTTTCTTCGCGATGCTATAGCAAATCTACAAACTTATATACCATCCTATAAAATTATATACCATCCTAATTGAACAGAATCAGTATAAGATAACTAGCGTGCAAGGAAATATTGGAAGATTCACAGCGACCATCACAACCACTTTCCACAAATAGAAGTATTGCAGAATACCCGTCCACTAGTAATATCATATCATGTAGCCCAGCCACATTTCACTGGATATGTATAATATACCAGATCTTATTGCCTTATTCTAATATACACAAACTAATTTCTAAGCCAATATTACGAATTGATACAATAAAAGAAATATCATGCAAGACTTTTAATGTTTAATATTATTATGCTTAATATGCTTTATAATATAAATTTTTTCTCCCAGCGACGCTAATTAATCATAATCTGTCAAACACCAATGTCCGGTTGTGAGGAACATATTTACATATTACACCACATTTAACTATTTAAGCTCTTTATAGCATGAGAATTTAATCTATTAATGCTAACTGTCGCCTTGATCTCAAAATAACTACTTGACTGCGTATCCACGTATCCGCTAAAATATAGAGCTACCTATAGTATGAGAATTTGATCTAATGCTAATCTAACTGTATGCCTCGTTCTCAAAATAACCGACTTGACTGCGTATCACGCGTATCCACTAGAATATATTGAGCTACCTTCAACACTATGACAATTTAATCTATTCATGCTAAGTCACTGTATGCCTCGTAGCTACCTTTACCACCATGGGATTTTAATCTATCATTTACTAGACTATGAGACTATCAATGTATTTATTATTAATCTATTGAGAATAAATATAGATGTATTAATACATCGTGTCCGTGTTTGAAAGGCTTAGCTTAAAAAGTCTAAAAAGTGGACGGGTATTCTGCAAAAAACAGTTGAGTTGCAGAAAAGCAAGTGGAAATGGCAATATAACTTAATAAAATATGTTAGATGTCATCACCACACAAGGTATGAAGCCACAATGTGTCCTGCTCAGATTTTGACATCTCAACCAAACAATACAATATTTTGAAATCACCAGTTGCGTGCGCAAGACACACTGGGAAGACGCATCTGATAAGAAGAGTATCCGCTGAATATTTTGTTTAAGGGCGCGGGTCAATGATGCGTCCGACTATCAAAGAGGAGTCCGACTGTCCACGGAAAAAAAATTTGCGTCGTCGAGCCGGCCGCGTCGTAGATCGTAAACTCCCTATTAGGATTTCACATTTTGTTGCCAAACCTGTGTCTTTTGTCTCAAGCGAAGTGAAGCTGGGAACATTTCCACTAAAAAAACGCAGCAGACTAGCTCCCCATAGCTGACAGTGCCTTGTTTTTACACCATAATCTGCCAAAACTAAACTTTGACTATTGACATGAGAGACTGAAGCTGTTTTTAATTGTACAAAGTGTGTATTGTAAACAATAAAACCGCATTTACAACTTCATTGTTGGTCATCTTGTGATTTTTCGCTTGCTTTTTAAAATAATCGGTAGGTACCGATTAATCGGCCGATTAGTTACAATAATCGGCTAATAAAAATTCGGCCTCAGTAATCGGCAATTTTCCTTATCGGCTCATCCCTACATCATATGACGCCATCCTGTAGTGCATTCGGACGTTTTCCTTCAGCCAAAACAAATAGGAGTGACACTTCTGGTCCGATATCTATTCTGTGATTTTATCAACACTTCAATTGAAACGACAGTAATACTTTTTATACATGAATGTTATGTATTCATTATGTACCAGTATTGGTATTTTGTTATGAATAAAGTTATTATTATTACGAATATATCAATATTTAAAGTGAGGTGAATCACTTTTGATTCAGTACAAGGTCAAGGACTGAATTAATTTTGATTAAGAGGCAATTTTTTTCAATGTCACGTATTTGCAATGAAAAGTGTTTAAAACTTAGTCTTAAAATCTTTCAACTTCAACTTTCAACTTTCAAATTTTAATAATAATAATTATAAATTACATATATTTACTATAGAGTTAATCGAGGCAGGGCAAGTAGGTAGTATTTTAAATATAAGATATAAAGTATCTACAATAGTTATACACATATAATAGAGTGATATATAATATAAAGTAATGAAGAGCAGACTGAGCTTAGATCAGGATTGTCACAATTGTTTTGACTTAACAATAATGGGAATATTTCTATATTGTACAATATTTAGTGTACATTACTGAAAGTAAGAATAGCGTTAGTTTTTAATTTTTTCAATTATCATGGGGATTTGAATGTAGTCATCTTCTTTTTCCAATATTTTAAATGGAAGTTGTTGAATGGTCCTTTTAAATAAATTCTTAGATAGGTCACTTACATGGCATGGTATCTCATTCCATAGTTTTACTCCAAGCCGTGAAAAAGAATACTCTTGTGTGTTTAGTCTAGAACTTTTTACATAAAACTTTTCTGAAGTATATGATCGTGTGCTGTGTAAGTGTTTATTGATTTCTCGAATAAGTTTAATATATTTTGAGGTGCTTTTCCATTATTTATATCGTGCATTAAACTCGATATAGTTTCATAATAGAGAAAGGTCACCGGTAAAATATGAGCATCAAGAGATAGGGGGACTGCGTGATCACATCTATCCGCAAAAAACATCATACATCTTTGTGGCTTTCCTTTTCCAACATTACTTTGTTTTAGCTTTATTCTCTAGTTTATAGAGTTAGCTACCTTTCTAAATGCATCTGCCGGTTGAGAAACATAAAATAATTGTAAAAAATTGTCAATTAAAATACAATTATGAATGATGCTTTAAAATTGACGCCATATTTACAACCTATAAGCCAAACTTACTGAACTTCAGACATCATTTTCTCCTTGGCGTATAATCTAAAATCTTTTCATTTTAGTATTATTTTACAGATAAAGCACTAAGCATACTTTTTAAGTTTGTTTGCCGATCGAGAAACATATTAAAAAATAAAAATTTTGAATTTAATCATAACCTCAAGTGGTATATTATACGCATTAGTTTTGAGCATGTGTTACGTAACATACAAAAGGTTCTTCTCAAACAAATTTCCAGTTTTTCTATCATACCTTTTCCCGTAATCTTTTGATTGTAAATTCCAACATTTTGGCAACTTTCTCTTTCGGTAATGAACTCATTGAATTGTTCTCCTCTCCCACCTAAAATGGGAAATAATCCAAATTAGACTCATTCGGGGATGGATTTACTGGGGGGGGGGGCACCCCTAGCTCTGGCCAGAGGGGGTGCAGGGGAGGTGCTATTTTTCATGATAAAGCAAAAAAGACAAAATGAGATACAGTAATTTGAGTAATAACATGATGATAAGTGAACTGTGAACAACAATTACAATTCAAATACAGTAGTTGATGGGCGGGCGGCACACATGACCGACACAACTCGGCAGTCGGCACCAGAGCACCCCCCTACCAGATCATGCTGGATCCATCCCTGTACTCATTGTGGTGTAAAAACAATTATTCGAAGCAATTAAAACAAATCGATTAAACATAAACAAAAACGCGAAGTTACATGCCAAAAATCATATTTGGTGTTAGTCGCACTTGCGTAATGTATTAATTTAATCGCAATTTAATTGCGTGTACACTGAACTGGAGTCCAGTGGACCTTGTGTTTAAATAAGTTTTTAGTAATAATAATTTGTACCTTGCACGATGGACATTTCCAGTGTTCTTCTTGAGAAATATAATGGGCTTTGGCACATTTTCTGTGAAACACTCGCGGACAGAATTCACACAAAATAACTTCGCCCGATTCCTGACAATCAAAGCAGTACCAGTCATGACCGCTGTCCTCGTCTGGTCTAAGTTCCTAAAATGATACAAAATGCCAATTTATATTGCACTATTTATAGCAGTGAGACAAGTGGTCTGTTTTGGCAAGCCAGCCAGCCCGTCTCAAAAGTCTCATGTCAACATGGATGGGATAAAATCAGCTTGGCAAACCAAGGTACTCATCTGCAAAGAGGGTTGCAGGTTTTCCATGGGGTCATGCAAGCCTAGTTCCTCAGCCTTCCACCCACGCCCCGCGGGCGAGTTGCAGGCTTCACGGAATTTGTAGACTGCACATTTCCTGCATGCCTTTAAAAAATCACCCTTAATAATCAGGCGCAAGTGAAAAGGCTGAGGAACTAGGCTAGGGTAGTGCATCACATCTCCTCTGCAGTCTGCAACACTACTATCCCAACATTACCATTATTGGAGATGGCCAAATCCGCATGTTCGCCAGTCTGTTACGTTTTTAACATTACCTTTTGTTTATAAAGTGTACATCGGCTTTTTATCACATATGCGTGATTGGACAGTTGCTGTAGCACGGTTTCAATAAATTTTCTTGTTGAAGTACAGTATATTTGAAAATATCGCTGTATACAAACCTCGACATGTTTACGTTTAACCATGATATTGAACTAAAGCATAATTCTGAGTATTTTTTGTGAGCTCACAAATCAACTAAATCATTTCAAGAAATCGACACTTGCTGACAGTAGAAGTCCCGCTGATCGCTATTCGAAAAGCAGAAAATGTATGGTCAAGCAGATTTTGTTAGGGTAGTGCTGGACATCTTGAGGGGGTACTAGACACCTCTAGACTGGGTGCGCATTCCCCCATACCCCCTACAGTAAATCAACCCCACCCCAAGACTAGCGTCTCATGCGAGGGTGATATATCCCTGTATCTTAATTTATATCCTCGAAAATTTGGTTAAGATAGCCCGACAGCTGGCAGAGGGTAGGCAGAAAAGTGGCAATCTGTCAAAATTTATTTCACATTGTGCTAAACTTCAAAACTATAATACGAATGCGATATGTCACGCACCCCAGACTTCATTCTTTGAATATTTTCTATGTCTGACGGGCATAAAACAAATAAAATGACATGAATTGTTTAACTTTGCATCGTATTCGACAAACAAAACACTGATAGTGGATACTGTAGTGCCTTTCCAAACGAATTACGTCCAAAAATGCCCAGGCATTGGCATGACGCTTTAATGCTAATATGAGTATCAAAAGCGAAAATAAAATCGTACAGAACCAGCTCGAATTTCCGAAAAATGAAGACAGCTTTGTAGTTTAAACATAAACAGCTCTTTAGAGATATGTTTACAATATAAGTTACGGCATCAAGAAGGACAATATATTATACAAGTACAGGTATAATTACCTCGGCTTGTGAATTGCCATTAGCGTCTAATTCCACGGCATTGTCAGTGTTGATAATTCGATACGACATTTGCTCGTTGCCTTTCTTGCTGCCCTTGTGCGAAATCGCGATGCTTTCTCGAAATAATCCGTCCTCTACGGCAAAGTGTAATTGCTTTAAGATGTCGGCGGGCTTCCAGTCGAATTCACGCAGGACGAAACGCAAGATTCGCTCCTCGTTCGGGCACTGCTTCTGATAACAAATCCCTTTAATGGCTTCGTAAATTGCACGTGAATGTTGCGAGTCGGAATTCCTTCGCACACAAACGCGAACCATGGCGAATTGTGGCCTCGTTTAAAAGCCAAGACGCTTACGATTGAAATCGAGAGACCACAAGCAACAAGGCACTTCGAAAAGTCCGTCAAAAATCAACTAGAGAGCGACAACACATAGACATTCCTCTGGCGAAGGTCACTTTTGGTTTTGACTAACCGGATACGCTTCGCTTCCGTTTTGACACGAAAATTTAATGCTACACGCTCGGCACCACGAATGTTTTTCCACAAAAGCCGCTTGGTTTGTTTATAACAACGAGGACGCTATTCTCTTCATTAAATGCTCATCATTAAAGCTTCGTGGGGCCCTTTGAAAATTCGGCATAGGTTTCCGTATAGCTGAACGACGATATGGCGATATCCCTTTCTTCCTAGTCGCCGAAACATTGTAATGAAGGGTGTTATTTCCGCTGCAAAATATATTCTAAACAGTTTATAAACAAAGTTTATTTGTGTGTGAAATTTGCATGAAAATACCCGTTTATATTCGACTCATTTATTCACAAAAACTTGACGTATTTCCCCCCTTTAAGGAAAGTGCTGAAGGAAATGAAATCGTTTTGCACTTCAAATTTAAAATGAAACTGACAGCGATGTGTCAATTTGCGTGGAATTACTCCAGCATTTAAACAAGGCCCTTTAATTTTTGAACTAGGTAACTGGGGGGCCAAAGCTTCCCCCCCCCCCCCAAGCCCTAGTGGTTGGCCCCCGCTAAACCATACCCCCTGTCAATGTCCCTTCGAAATAAAACTTGAAAGCAAAATTGAATTCGGAAGGGAAGTTTGATCAATGGCTAGCAGCTGAATCTTGTTATTATGGCTTTATGCCATGTAAAGTATCTTCAAATGTTCAATATGTCTTTATTATGGCTAAGGCCACGGTTTATATGGATTTGAGTTGTTTAACAAGTTTCAACCTCGTACCCCCCTGCTTCTCTTTGCGGACAAGTTTATAGTGACCGAGTTGTGGTATTTACATAAACATACAATGCAAACAATGTGAGGCTGTATATTGTGTATATTTAACAATTATACCATGAGCTCGAGTCGTAATGAATGAGTTATCAGCCATATACGACGAGAGCGAATAGTATAATTGTTTTATAATATAGTCTAAGAGCCATTAACTGAAGTAATAATTAATTATCCTCTGTTACAATGTCTTGATATAAATTTGTTCGGCCAAAAACCGCTTGGCCTTGAAAATTTGAAATACTTTTGTTTTACAACTCGAAGACGAAGTGAAAGAAGTAGTTTTAGAACCGGTATATCTCACAGAAAGATCAGATAAATAAATGCAGATGTTTGGTAGTATAGTAAGTGCTTGTTGACTGCAAATTCATTTGTCTTTCGTTGCAAACTTTTCTGAACAATTTATATTCTCAATGAACATGTTTTTTTTCGCTGTTGTTTCGGTATTAATTCTTTAAAAAACTTGTATTTAAACTAATTTCTATGTATTAAATGTATTTTGCTAACCTGTCAAATTTTTTTGAGAGTTTTTCCTTGTACTATTATCTCTCTCAAAGCGAATATTTTCCTTTTTTCTGCTTCGCAAAACTCATGTAGTTTTGGACCGCCATCTTGTTTTTCGCTACTCGCCGTATATGAGCTGATATACGGCGAGTAATTCAACCAATCAGATTGCAGAACAGCTCATATACGGTGGATGACTATATTATATATATATATATATATATATATATATATATATATATATATATATAATAATTAATTAATAATAATTTTTATTTAATAAAAATTATTATAATAATTAAATATATTATTAATTATTATTATGTATACAATTATAATTAATTATAATATTTTAATGATAATATAATTATAATAATAATAGTAATATTTATAATAATTATAAGTATTATTATTATTATTAAAATTGAATAAAGTTTTCGTTATAATAATTATTATTATTATTAATCCAACATCCTGTTGGGCGGCCAAGAATCCTGACTATCCCGCGTGCAATTACAGAGTACAGATCGGCCTTCATCACCGGGCTTAAAACTGTAAGGAGCCTCTTTAAGAATGCGTTTTTGACTCGTGTTCACAGATTTTTGACTCGTGTTCGTCATTGTTGACTCGTGTTGACTCGTGTTCGTCATTTTTGACTCGTGTTCACTCGTGTTCGTCAGTTTTTGACTCGTGTTCACTCGTGTTCGTCATTTGTGACTCGTGTTCACTCGTGTTCGTCAGTTTTTGACTCGTGTTCACTCGTGTTCACAAATTTTTGACTCGTGTTCACTCGTGTTCACTCGTGTTGTCTCGTGTTCACTCGTGTTCTGACTCGTGTGGTCTTCTAGAATAGATCTCTCTGATCTATTCTAACTAATATGAATTCGGCTAATGTAGCACATAAACAGAATTTTGACAGACAGTCGCAGATAAAACATTGTCTATTCTCATGACATTGTCTATTCTCATGACATTGTCTATTCTCATGACAAAGTTCAACGTTTTTACCGAGAAACTTCAATGTTTGTGATATTAATCATTTGATGATTTCAATGCCGGATGATTCCAGCTATAGACTAATTTTGATCTAGGCAAGAAGAAAAAAATCCATATTTGGGCCGAAAGTGGTGCATTTTCCCGCGCGTGATAGAAATTAGGCCACATAAAAAAATTACTTGTTTAGCGTCCCCGCCCGACCTCATAAAAGTCCCCGACCTCCAATTTTTTTAATTTTTTTTTTTAAATTTGTCCGAGTTTAGTGGAAAAACTCTCTATAAAAAAGACCGTTTTACTTGAAAAAATGGTGATTTTATTCTTCTGGGAGCTATGTAATACGTTTACACAAAGTTTCCTTCCCAGAATATGCCTGTTCGCAGCTGAAGTGTTCGCGCGTGACCGTCAAACGGTAATTTTCTGTTTGATTAAAAACATGAACGGGAAGTTAAAAAACATGAACGGATTTTGAAAGAATTAAAGTGAGTTTTGACTGTGGTAATATACTGGATTTCCTGCATTTAGCAGAATTTTGTGTTGCATTTTACGAAAAAAAAAAAAAATCCGTCCGCCCGACCTAGAAAAATTAAAATGGGTGGACGCTAAACAAGTAATTTTTTTTAGTGGCCTTAATACAAAATTTGCAAATTCCGAAGGTGATATTTTCCGCATTTTACAACATTTTTCGCGGGCAAACTTTGCAATTTTACTAATTTTAGCATGCTCTTTCTAGCTGTGGTGATGGATTTTGTCCTCATGTCTTGCCTTGATCAAAATTAGTCTATAACTGGAATCATCCGGCATTGAAACCATCAAATGATTAATGTCACAAACATTGAAGTTTCTCGGTAAAAACGTTGAACTTTGTCATGAGAATAGACAATGTTTTATCTGCGACTGTCTGTCAAAATTCTGTTTATGTGCTACATTGTCATTGAAAGGCAGCAAAATTTAATGAAATGGCTTTTAGCAAGATGAAAGCTTCACATATGATACTGATTAGTTTCGTATCATGCAGTTTTTTTGTTCATGTTTTTATATTATTGACTGTTATTGTAGCTATATTTATATGCGAAAGTTTGTAGTTCAGCCACTTCAGCCGTTGTTACGGAACGTACGGCTATATATTGTGTTAAAAATATTTTGACTTTGTTGTTTCTGATGACATTTTTGTTGACTCTCGACTTTTGCTGTCGACTCTCGACTTTTTGCTGTCGACTCTCGACTTTTTTTTCGACTCTCGACATTTACTCTCGACTCTCGACTTTTACTCTCGACTCTCGACCTTTAGGCCCGGTTTAGACGGCGAACTTTTCATGCGCTGAATCTAATTGTCGTAGATACGGCAAAATATCGGAAGCTGATTTAGACGTCGAACTAGACTTGCTCCAAGTCTGCCTCTTGGATGTTCCTAATTAAAGTAACTTGCAAGGGAACTTTAGTTTTACTTGAGTTTTATTAGTAGCAGGCGAGCGGAAAAGGAGCGAAAAAAAGCGGGCGGGAAAATGGCGGGCGGCGCGGGCGAGGCGGCGAGGAGGGAGGGGAGAGGCCCGCGCCGCCCGCCATTTTCCCGCCCGCTTTTTTTCGCTCCTTTCCCGCGCCGCCCGCTTTTTTTCGCTCCTTTTCGGCTCGCCTGCTACTAATAAAACTCAAGTAAAACTCAAGTTACTTTTATAAAACTAAAGTAAAACTCAAGTTACTTTAATTAGGAACATCCAAGAGGCAGACTTGGAGCAAGTCTACGTACCAAATTGCGAGGACACGATATTGGACATATTTACAATACAAATATATGATAATCATATTATGATGTTAAAAAATAATTATGCATTAGGTTCGGCGCATGAAAAGCACGGCGTCTAAATCAATGTCGAACCTGTGTCGCATATACGACTTGTCTTGTCGCATCTTCGAGTCATGTCGAACTTAATCAAAATCTGTCGAACTTAATTGATTTAGAAGCCGCTCCAGCGTCGCACTTAATTCTTGCATTAGATTCGGCGCATGAGAAGTTCGCCGTCTAAACCGGGCCTACTCTCGACCCTCGACTTTTAGATACACTCACTATATAACAATTACCTTTGTTCTGCGTCTTCGTTGTTGACATATGATTGGTCAGTTAGTCTTTCATTCGGTTTTATACACCTGCCCGTGGATACATTTGTACTTTGGATATCGCCTTTTTGTGGCTGTTGACAAGCCTTTCCTGTCACTATGAGATTATAACCCGGTTTGAAGCTGACAAACGTGTTGTCTCATTAACTTTAATTTATGTATTGTTGCTTGTGATGTTACTCTGAGTGTGTATCCCATAGTATCCACACCGGGCAGGCTTGAAAAATATGCCTGGCCACGGTGGGAATCGAACCTACGACCTTTGGAATACTAGCCTATATATAAATTGGCTTTCACATTTTCCACTAATAGGGAATTTATCTCCACATTAATACGACAAACGCCAGGCAAAGAAAAAATTGTTGGCTAATAGTGACAAAATGTCTTGTTAATATATTCAAATGTAAAATGTAAAAGTATTCTTTTCATACGTACAACAATTGTATTTAATTTCATGATAAAACTCTATACAGGTATACTTATCGGTTTCAGCAGCATATCCTGCACATGTTGCCTGTTGTGTATTTTTCGTCTCTTTTTATACATTCTTTATTTTGAAACACAAACTTGGAAAACCGTAGTTTATAAACTTGGGAATTGTGCCACCATTTTGTTTATTTATGTACACGTAGTCGGTCGGGGCTAGCCTGTGTCACAGAGCTTAGTATAGTTGGGGCAGGCAACAATTTTTCACTTCTTGCCCGGAAAACATTGCATTTATCTAAATGGCGGCGACCACAAATCAGCCAATCACGTTTGGTGTTCACCCTTCGTATGAATAATTATAATATAACAAGACGCTCTACGGAGCGTTCACTCGCTGGGGCTATACAACTACGCACAGTACTGTACAATGTACATGATACATACAGTACACAGCTCTATCAATTGAGATTTAAGGTTTTCCCCGAGCTAAGCGGAAAAGTCTAATACGAGCGCGAAAAGCTTAATAACACAGTACTAAAATGCGGTAGGCCTAACAAGTAAAGTTATATTTAGTACGCTACATTCTTCTTCAAAACTGTCAGCCGCCAGTTGGTCTAGGTTACTGCGCTTTAAAACGTTCAAAATAAAATATTTTGGGGCTTTTGCATGGGCTCAATATACTATCAAAATGAAGCGAGAAGTGAGACGAATCCACTGGTATACGGCCGAAAAAGAGAAAACCAATGATACCAAAGTTATCAAGGGTCAAACGTACTGCATTCTTTTTATAACAAGACGCTCTCTCGAGCGTTAAGTTGCTGGAGCTTTTTGAATAGGCGCCTGCGTGATTTGCAACGAGCGGTAAAATATATTCAACGATTTGTGGGCTTGATTTGTAATTGTACATAAGTTTATTAAATAGTGACACTTTGCGACATAATGTATACAGCAAATTTAATTAACTAAGGTCGTCCTTTCAATGAAGTGGAATCTCACAATCAGGTCCGTCGTACAAGAGTTCATCATATCGCTGAACTGAAGAATTCCTGTCGTAAAAGAGATCCACTGAAGAATTCTTGTTAATACCCATGAAGAGGGACCCTGGAAGAATTTCAATTTTTACAATTGACCCCTGAGAAAATCTCATTCAAAATATCCGGCATTACCGGATTACCCCCAAAGAATTCCACACAGAAATGTGCTTATCCCTGAGGAATTCCAAAGCTAAAAATTTATCACCTCATTCCAGCAGAATTGCAAGCTGGAATAGCCCATTTTGTGCTGGAAAATCGCATATATTGGTGCGGAATTTAGCTTTTTGCACCTAACTGATGCATGTGATAGACAGTGGTTATATTTCACCCCAGGGCTGTAGCAACCGGGGGGGGGGGCTGTTTAAAATTGTAAATTTCGACATACTAAAATGCTGTTTTCTGACCATCGGAATTCTGTCAAATCTTTCCCAAAGTTCAGGAAATGGCATTTCAGAGACTCTAAATTTAAAAATTTCCTCGGGCCTTTGGCCACCGCTTTCAGTTCCCCAATCAAAAAGATTAAAAACAGTCTTTAACCAATGAGTTCTTCTAGAATCTCCTCAACGTAGAAAAATTTTACATAACTTTATATTAGCAGTCAGTGGTGTAGAACTAAATCGCTAACAAAGAGGGCCCTCAAAGAGAGGGGGGGGGGTGACAAGACGTGGGGTGACCAGGCATTGAGGGTGCGACCATAGAGATTATAAATAACACTAGAGGAGGCATTGTAATCTTAATTCAGTAAAAAAAAGGGAACGCGACTATTGGGGGGCAAATTCAAGTCCCGGATGTGTATTCGTGTTCCCATTGGTGACGAGTTTCAAATCAGCCAATGAGAGTACGATTTTATATCCGGGACTTGAATTTGCCCCCCATTAGCTGAGTTCCCAATTTTTAAACTCGATGCCTCCTCTAGTGTTATTTATAATCTCTATGGGTGCGACATGGTAAATATGGATAGTTCCAGTATTCACTTTTGGTTCTAGCAATTCTTCAATTGGTGATTTTTAACTAATGGGCTTAACATCAAATAATACATTCCGAAATATTGACACTATTACATGTTAGAGCCACATAAATATCAAATGGTTAGATCATAGTAATTAAGGTACAGATTACTGATAGATTATGATTTTGCAATCTGCAAAAATATTGCAAGGTTAACCTCCCCAAATTGACATGAAATTGTTAACAAGGGGACCCCTGTTTGCAATCTATTAAATAAGCAAATGAGTTGCAAGTAAAAATCTTTTATGTGAATACATGATGCAGTTTACAACATGAACATGGGAGTTTTTAAGCTAATAGTTCAGTCCTATAACCAGAATAATAATTGGACTTTATGTAATATTAACATAATTCAGCCAATGGCTGCAAGGTTTATCAATTAAAAACATCTATCTATCTATCTAAGAAATACCAATCCAAGACTGTGTGTCACGTACCTCGTGTGTCACTTCAAAATAGCCAACATTTGAGCCCTCTTGAAAATAGAGCTAGCATGCAAATATATGGCAGTTCCAATACATGTAAACAAATACGATTTTTGTGCAGACTAATGGAGCAACCAGGACTATAAGCCATATTAAAGCGTATATAGATGTAAAACTTCACAAAACAAAAATATAAACATTCAGAAATATAATGGTTCGACGAATAAATAACACAGTTATTTGTCAGTTAATCCACCTCGGAATCTACTCCACTCCTCGATAGTGAAACGTCGACATAATTCTGTATATTCTTGATGGATTTCTTTCAAAAAGCCCCCAGAGGAAAAAGCCTGATTAAAAGAACAATTTGACGTTCACTTTATACACTTACGAAGACTTTAAGACCGTCAAAATAGCGAAAATGTATGCACGTATTGCTTCGTATATAGATCAGTGGGAATTTCCATTTTGCGACTATCCATGGAGAAGGAGACCAAATTCACCCGAAACCTATAGTTGCTGGCACAGGTGCCCCAGCAACTAATTAGTTTAATAATATTAGGGCCATTTATACGGAACAAAATAAGACGTGACTTACATAAGACGCGACTTAAGTAAGACGCGAGTTTGTCGTATAAAAGGTACAAAATTCTTATGTAAGACGCGTCTTACATAAGAACAGGTCTTTTAGCTGTTCTTATTTAAGTCGCGTCTTAAGTAAGAAATTTTGGGCAAAAAGTTTGACTATACACATGCCAGAAACTTGAAACAACGTAAAATTATTAGCCTTGCATATATTAAAACAAAAACAACCAAAACAACATTATAGCTATAGCAAATAAATAAGACCAAAGCCGTAGAGAACCATTTATGCGATAAATCCGCTTATTTAAGTCGCGTCTTATGTAAGTCGCGTCTTATTTTGTTCCGTATAAATGGCCCTATTGAGCGATTGACAACAATACAATTTCGCTCGGCTTTCAAAGACAAAGGCCATAAATAGTGCTGTGTCCGGCCGAATTACAGCTCTGAGCTCCGGCTCCGGCCACATCATGAAATATTAAATAAATGTTTTAGGGAAGCCTCACATATCGATTTTTTCCACGAGAAACGTCATATGTTCGTTTGGGGGTGGGGGGTTTGCAGCTGTGACGTTTCTCAGTAAACATCATGGAAAAATTCGATAGTTTTTTCGAAAGCCTTAACATTTCGGAATCATCTTTGCAGAATAAAAAATTACATTCGTAATACCGTACCCGTTCTATACGTATACATTTATATTATTACGCCTTCTTTACATTGAAAACAGTCACTCGAATTTTAAGAAAAACGCGCTAAAATTATCAATATTTCATGCAAAAAAAGTTGTTTTGAGAAACGTTGGAAATTTTGAAGTTCATACATATTAATGAAAAAAGATATGTCAGCAGCAGATGACATATTCCTCGCGCGGAAGTATCGCCAATAGCCGACTGTAGAAAATAGTAGAAAATTACCTTATGTGCACTATATCTATAAGAACAAAATATCGATAACTATGTGTGACGTTTCTAAGGGGGTCTCCAGAGAAACGAACATATGACGTTTCTCGTGGACAGAATCGATATATGAGGCTTCCCTTACGATCAGAGAACATTTATTAATATTATTATGAATAACCCTTTTCGCGCTTCCTAATTATCAGATAACATAACTCAGGAAACAAAACAGTGAAAACACTTAACCACGCAGAAAATATCTATATGGAAACCAGCTTCGAAAAATCTTTGACGCGAGGCATGACGCTAACACTCTCAGACTCCACAGCGCAATTGTTCGCACGCAAACAAAGTACTCTATCATTTTCAAAAGGTTGATATTTATTTGTTTTGTACTTTTTCGTTATCTACAAGGCATGAATACACAAACTATGTAGCGCTAAGTCAGATGGCTTCATGAAAGCATGACGTTTGTAAGTTGCGATCGTATTACAGCTTTTCGACGCTGTTCCTGTGGGCTGTGGCAGTTCGAGTCTATGATGAATTCATTCAGCAAATGGCAGTTTGCAGTAACTAACAATCGTTTGACATTTGTCTCGTTTCATATTGTTTTCTTGTCATTTTGCCGGAGCTGGGAAAACGTAACTCCGGCTCCGGGCTCCGGCATACAAAATTCTGCTCCGGCTCCGGCGTTGGAAAAACCGCCGGAGCTCCGGCAGAACTCCGCCTCCGGCAACTCCGGCGCACAGCACTAGCCATAAATCGCTAGAACATTGTTGTTTAGTAATACATTTGACATTCGTAATTAGTACAATTTCTAACGCTGAATCGAACGGTCTAGACAGGTATTTTTATCCTTATTGCGCCATTAGGCATTACAAATACAAGGACATAGCTGTGGACAAACGTAGTGCGAGTGATTTGTGCAACCTCGTACCCAGGGCCTTTGCGCGGTTCAGAGGCTCTGGTACGGGAAGCAAAGGCCCTGGGGCCGGTTGTATCAAAGGCGTTTAACTTAAACGGTGTTTAGCCGCTATCCAGCGTATAAATTTCTTATCCAGTGGACAGTTAAACGGCCGATAAAATTGCGTTGTACGAAGCCCGTTTAGTACCGCGTTTAACTATCCGTAGGATAACCTTTAATTTAACCGGAGAAAACCGGATTTTCTTGAAATTTCTTACCTCTACGTCAGCTGTTGCTAGGCCTTTGTAAACTTTTGAAGCTTTATCTAACTTGTGAATTCCACTAAGCTTTTGCAATAAAGTTTGTTGTTGTTTTTATTTGGAGTTTGCTCGTCCATTCATTGCTGCAAATCTATATCAAACTTTTCATTTTCACATTGTGCTGAGTTTCTCATTCACTTAAATTCACTTACGGATATTTCTTTAAAGATTTTTGGCTTCTTTATGCGAAGAGTCGAGGGCAATAGCAAAAACTGTGAGTTGTATTTGGTTTTTGCCAGTTGATTCAGTTTTATACTGTTTGAAATTTGTTCCTCGACCTTGCACTTTTGTTCAAAACAATTTTAAGAACATTTTGTCCCAAGTTTTGATTGGCTGATCAAAGCGATTAACGCGAGCGAACAATTTTTTTTCGACTTTCGGCGTCTTGTTGTCTATTTTGTATACTTTTTGGCTTTCCAAAGTCATTGTTTGTTTTACGATAGCTAAAATTGGGAGCCTTACTGCTTGTTTTCAAACTATATAATAGAAGAAAAGAAGGAGAAAAAGCCAGAGTATATATACTTAACATCTTAACATGACACTGGTGTGCGTAAATATGGCAAAGCCATGGAATTACAAGTGAGCAAGTGACCTCAGTGTACCTCAACTAAGACCAAGCCAGTTAAAAGTGAGTTTTTCATGTTTATTGGATTTAAAAAGATAACTCCTCCACATGATTGTGCATTTTTATAACTATCCCATGCTTTTTCATCCGAAATAATCATTGTTTTATCTTCAAACTCCGAGTTTATCCGCCGTATAGAGATCG